TTGTCTCGCGCAAATTTAATTTCAGAAACAAGAATGTACATATTTTATATTAATCGACACAATTTCCCGTTTCAATCGAAACTTGAACATATACTCTGCACGTGTATTATATGCGAGCAAAAAACATGTATCAATGATTAAAATTATAAAATCTTTCTCAAATACGAAATATATTGTTATCGCAATGTACGCGCGAGAGAAAGAGAAAATTATAATAATTAAATAAAACATTTTAATGGAAAATGCGCGCGCGAAAGCTCTGTATAATAACGTCTCGTATAAAATGAGCGTCAGAGTTGATAAACTTTATTTCCTCTGTTTGAGAAATTTATCTAGAATTGTAATAATTATTTTATTCAATGAGGGGTGCGTGAAGTTAGCCTTTCCATATCTTCGAAGTGCATTTTCATGCCTTCAATGGCCGGAACCATTTAAAATCAGCTTTACTTTATCTAAGATAAATTTCTATATTTTCATCTCATCTTTATCCCACTAATTTTATAATTTACATTCTTCTTATAATTGCGTTTACATAAGCAGTCTTAAAAATTATCTAGAAAATTATCTAGATAAATCGCCATATATAATTTTATCTTTTATCTAGATATATTTAAAACAAAATCATCTTCATCTTATCTATGATATATATTTGTATCTCATCTTTATCTAGCTAATTTTATCTAGAAAATTATCTACATGAATCGCCATATATAATTTTATCTTTTATCTAGATATATTTAAAACAAAATCATCTTCGCCTTATCTAAGATAAATTTCTATATTTCCATCTCATCTTTATCTAGCTAATTTTATCTAGAAAATTATCTAGATGAATCGTCATATATAATTTTATCTTTTATCTAGATATATTTAAAACAAGATCATCTTATCTATGATGAATTTATATATTTGTATCTCATCTTTATCTAGCTAATTTTATCTAGAAAATTATCTAGATGACTCGCCATATAAAATTTTATCTTTTATCTAGATATATTTAAAACAAGATCATCTTCATCTTATCTATGATGAATTTATATATTTGTATCTCATCTTTATCTAGCTAATTTTATCTAGAAAATTATCTAGATGACTCGCCATATATAATTTGATCTTTTATCTAAATATATTTAAAACAAAATCATCTTCGCCTTATCTAAGATAAATTTCTATATTTCCATCTCATCTTTATCTAACTAATTTTAAAAATCATCTAAGCACTGATAAATCTCCATAGGATGACAGAACGGCAACACGTGGGTCACGCGGTGTCGAATATTGAATATTAGTAGAAAATTAATCTCGCATATTGAATATTAGTAGAAAATTAATCTCGTTGCGGAAGTGCAGTGCCATAATAGAAGGACGAATGACGATGTCACGAATACGCCGGCAGATAGGGGATGATGTGCATGCATAAATAGTGACGATGATACCGACAAGATGATACGATCGTGGCGTCCGCAAGATCGTAAATCTCGATGGTATCTCCACGGCCTTGTAACGTGGGGCAATGCGACACTGATGAAATAATGCCGGCGCTAAAGCAACAACAATGGCCCGTCGATTTCCACGCTATAGCGCATTAATAATTTCCCGCTCGCTCTCGCTTTAAGTAACCGCGCACGTTGCGACAAAGCGGACTTTATATACATTCGCCGTACATATATACATATACATATATATGTATCTACCTACGGTTTGAAAAACCGGACGTCTACAAATTTCCACGAGCGAGATAAGGCCTCCGCCTTTAGAGACCTTTAGACCGCCGCGGAGAGAGAGAAAGTCTCACGCGCGTTTTTCTGCATTATTAATAACATCCACTCGGTCCCGCGGCGGGGCGGACAGAAATCAGGACGACGTGCGCGATTCGTCTCTGAAAGAAGGGTAGGTAGGGAGAAATCCGTATAATACGGGAGGATCGATCACGGATTTTTTGCTCGGGAGTCGAACCTGATCTTTCAACGCGCGCGTCGAACGGCGGGAGTAAAAAGCAAGCGTGTTACAGCCCTTTAACATCAGCGGGGGTGAAGGAAGGGTGAAAGGGGGGTGGGGGAGGGACGATACCACCGTCGCATTTTTACATGCCCCGGCAGCGCACGCCCGGGATCGTTTTATAACCTACCACGTCCACCTCACGCTCGCGAACGTCTGTTTTACGCCCGTTTTATGCCCGCGCAAGCATCTGCAACATTCCTCGAGCGTTTATTTACGAGACACCGGGTACGCGGGCCGTCCCCGGGTCGAGCGCGGGTAAATTGAATACACGATGGGCCGAAAATGTAGCTCCCGCGCTCTACTCCCGTGTTCTTGCCCATACGTGAAATCCGGGGACTCAAAAATTCGACCGTAAATTCCGCGCGTCGCGCGCACGCTTGCCGCAGCTCTTTCTTAGCGCAAGATTTAACGAGATTTATCTGTATTTATGCGGGAGGTTTATGCGAGATACGGCGAGCGTCGACGTTGAAACGCCATCGCGAATTATCCTAATGCGATTCGTACAATCGTTCTCCATTATAAACTCTCGACTCTACGCGCGGACTTTACTTTGACTTCAATGTGTCCTAATGTGAGCTTAAACGATCGTATTATGCAGAAATTTATTGAATAAGTATTTATTTCGATATTGAGAGATGAATTATTTATTTGAAACTAACAATATCGATTTGATTTGAAAAATATTTATTTTATATAAGAAAATCCTTTTCGAAAACAAATAAATATTTATTTGTCTTGAACAAATGATTTATTTGACAGTATTATTGAAACAAATATTTGTTAATTTAATAATTTTTTTTTCAGTGTGGAGAATCCATTACAGGGTATTCAGCAGACTCGATGAAAAAGATTTCTTGACTTTTTCAGATTTTCCAAGACCAGGAATTAATTGTTTTCCCGACTTTTTAGTATTATCTTTTACTAATATATAATTTGCATATATCTATCACTGAAAAAACAAATTATTGAATTCGAATAAGTATTTATTCAATACTGCTAAATTAATTCTTTATTTGAAACTAATAATATTGATTTGACATGAAAAATATTTATTTATAGAAGAAATTCCTTTTTAAACAAATAAATATTTATTTATTTCAAATAAATCATTTATTTAGGAGTATTCAAATAAATATTTATTAATTTAGTTATTTTTTTAGTGTATATGATAAATCAATGTTAAATGTTAAATCATGAAATCCTTGAGATATTTTTGTCAACAATGAAAAGGTTCTGGAGTTAAAAAAACAAAAGTTTAAATAAATTGTACAATCTGCATTATGTATTATAAAAATCGAAACAAACATGTCACTATAAACTATTTAAATAATCACCTTTTTTATTTATATTATATCAAATTTTTTAGGTTTATCTCTATTAAACACATTGAAATAAAATAACACGACGATGAAAATATAAATTAACAAGGAAAAGTTTATTATTTAATAAAAAATTTCAAATTATTGAGATAAATGTGGAATAATGTGAAAAAAATCCAGAGAAATAGTAAAATTTCCTGACAATGCCCGATTTTCCAGATTTCCTTGACTGCTAGACACCCTGAATTACTCTTTCGCAAAAAATAAATAATATCTCTAGCATTTTTATTTATCTCGATAAAGTGATGAATTTCAAAATTTTTCATCACACTGAAAAATAAAAAATTTGTAACTCGACTCAACCTTTCAATTAAATTACTATTTCATTAATGGAACACGTATTAGTATTTAAATCAAATATACGTTTTGTTAAATTTAATAATACGTTATATTTAATTTCAATATTTTTATACGTTCAATTAACAAAATAATATTGAGTTGAAAAGTGTAGTCAAGTTAACAAATTTGTTTTTAGTGAGAAATTTGTGAATATAATAACTTTATAAATATATATTAGAATTATTCAAAAAATGTAACGTCCTCAGAATTTATTTATTCAACAGATTAGATATTTACACACAATATATGTATATAAATGTTTTCCATAATCAGTAAAAAAAGTTCAGTATTTGCGCTCTCATTTGGAAAAAAAACACTGGATTTTATTTGCATATTTAACATATAAAAAATGAAAATAACAAGATAACAAAAAATATTAATCATGCCCTCTGGAAAAAATCTACGGACGCTCACGACGATTTCCTCTTTTTTTACACGTATTATTTTTCAATAATAAAATCCTAATCTCCATCGACTTCGAAAATTATATACGTATAAACGCGCATAAATTTCAAGTCCGTAAAATAAATAGCTTCCGAGAAAAAAAAATGCGAGGCATTATTTCCCGAGCAGCCCTAATATTTGAATTACACCCTTATATATATGCGCTTTTCTTACCTTCGTCGAGAATCGAGAGTCGGAACGAACGCAATCTGGCGAAACATTTTTCGTATTCATCGAATTCGTCGATAGCATGAACTGTCTAACGCATTCCCGGGCGAATATGCCAGCAATCGACACTAGAGATATAGATTACAACAAAAAAAAAAAAAAAAGAGAGAGAAAGAGAGCAAAATGTATAACATGCGGATATATCGACTTTCCGCAATCTCTACCAACCATTTTTCTACGAAACGTATTTCGAGAGCCGATGAAACGTGACGGACGTAGCCGACTACCGAAACGTTCCGGCGTGTGCCAACAGATTTTTATGGCCGTGATGACTGGAATCGCGCGTGCATGTCCTCGGCAATCCGCGCGTCATCATTATCATCGCGCCGTTTATAATTAAATGCGGTGTGAATATAATTAAACGATTTAAATATTCACGCGCGCAATTATACGATTCGCTGTCGCCCGTAAATATGCGCAAATATATATACATATATATATATGTGTGTGTGTGTGTGTGTGTGCAATTGAGGCCTGTGAATATTTCAGACCGATTTAACATGAAATTCAACTCCCCGGCTCGATCTGTCCGGGTATCAATGTCGATCTCCGAGAGTGAAATGAAGAAAACGGGAGATAAAGACAGATATATATATGTGTGTGACTCACCGAAGTAGCAGCAGCAGACGTTTACCGGCTTCGGGATGCGACGAAACAGGGATCTCTGCTACTCGACATCTTGAAAGACGAGCGTCTCTCCTTCTCGCTATCCTCGCGCATCGACATCCCCGGCGCAAATCCGACACTGAAATATTTCGAATAGCGCAGGGTCGTTATTAGCATTATTTATCACCCGACTGGATGTGTGCGCGCGCGTATATATTTATAAATCAAATGTCCGGAAGAGCGGCGAACGTCAGAGCGGGATTTATCGGCGACGCCGTCTTCCGAATTCGATTGTTTCCCATATCTCGGCTCATTCCGAAAGCTTGTATTATTCGTTACAGACGCGCGCGTAAAATATTCAAGTTATCTCGCCGTCGATAATTCCGCTCGGGCTTAAGTTCCTCACTTCCCTCTCCTGATTTCCGCATAGAAATTCGGGCAATTTCCGACACTATCGTATCCCAACCCGATAATCTTGAAAGGCGGTCCGAATTTTCGAAATGCGACCGACAGACACAAACGCGAAGCTGCTGATGCTTGGCAGTTTTCCGCGTCTCTTATTTATTTAACGAGACGAGGACGAGAAGGAAAGTCATATAGAGAGCATAAGAGAATAAGATGGAGCGAAAGAGAAATATATAAGGCGTCGACTTGGCACGAATAAATTCGTCCCCAAACTCTTCGTACATCGGCGAAAGTTGGAATAAATGTCATTAATGTCATTAACGTCGGTGTGTGAATCTTTTATTGCAACTGAAACGCTGAGATCTTAAACGTCGGTCTGTTTCATTGATAGACATTATTTTCATTTAATTTTTTATTGACTGTACAGAATAAAAAATCAATAAGTTAAATAATTTTCCGATCGTTTAAGGAGATGCTGAACATGTCTGTTTTACCGACTTTGAGTTCAAGGGCTTTTCTTTTTATTGACTATACAGATTGAAAAATCCTTCTTCACAATTAAAATAATGATAATAATGAACGGGGAGCGCTGAAATTTCGTATAAAAAAACAATAGCAGTTAAAAAATTATAGTTCTTTTATCTGCCTCTTGCATCAGCTCATAAGAATACTTATGTAATACAAAAGTTCTGCAGTTTATTTGTGCACAAAACATGGCGCTCCCAATAGAGACGATATGAAAGAATAATACAGAAGTAATAAAAATGAGATTAAAAGCTTGTATCAAAAGATTCGTACTTTGCAATCTGTATGTTCAATAAAAAGTGAACCTAACCTAACTTAGAACAACAGCAGTATCTCCTTAATGTCATTAACGTCAATGTGTGAATCTTTTATCGCAACGCTGAGATCCTAAATGTCATTCTGTTTCATTATTAGATATTATTTTTATTTAAATTTTTGTTGGCTATACAGAATGAAAAATCTATAATAAATCTAGGTTATTATATACAGTATCATCTATAAGTTTGGAAATATCTTATATTTTACAGTTGAACGATCGCATGGCAGCGATCTGTGCAAATTTTTTGTATGACTAAATCGTAAGATAATTAAATGACAATATAAAATGTCAGTTCATTCTGTATAGCCAATAAATAATTAATCTAGTGAGTTTATATATAAGACGTGAAGAATTAAAAATTAGTCTTATTTTAAAAAATGGATATTCACATTAACTTAAGTAAGGACCAAAAAGTAATGATCGAAACGTTGTGTGCTTGATTCAATAAACATTTGCTAGTTCCAGTCCAATAAAAAGATCATTTGATTAATTTCCCACTAGCGACTTTAAAGAAACTTGAACAATAAATAATTAAATGAAAATTATATTTGTCGATAACACATCCCCTTAAGGGAATCGCGCTCTTATTTTACCAATAAAACATCATTTTTCTTTATTAGTGGAATAGAATAATAAATGCTTTTCTACGATTAAAGTACACATAGAAACAAAACGTGAACCTATCCAGTTTATGTAAAAAAAAATTTTTTTTGTTCGTAACGAAATCGATAGGTTCTTTGTTTCTATGTATACTTAATCGTGAAAAGCATTTATTCTGTAGTTCAGTAAAATTAGACTTTGACTTCAAAAAAAATATAATCAAGCTGAATTTTTGTGGAGATCTTTGTTTCAATGAAATTTTGAAAAGTACCCTTAATTTCAGCCAGGGCATTCTTTATGGCGGGTAAAAGGGGTAAATTTTAATTTTTTGCCATTATCTCAAAAACTATCAATTTTTCGAGAAAAATAGTTATTATCAAAATTGTAGTTCATAAAATTTCCTACAAAAAAGGTCATTTATTTCTTCTTTTCGTGGAATTAATCGTTCCGAAGATATAGAGCGAATTAAGTCTGAAAGAAAATGTGCACAAATGACTAACTATTGCAACTTTACCGCACATTTTACTCAAAAACGATTAGTTGTACGAAAAAAGTATAATGACCTTTTTTGTAGACAATTTTATGAGCTACAATTTTGATAATGACTATTTTTCTCGAAAAATTGATAGTTTCCATTAGAACATCGAAATCAAAGGTCTCCAAAAAATTCAGCTTGATTATAATTTTTTTTGAAGTTTGCCCTTTTCAAGTCAATTTTACTGGACTAATTCTGTTGAACCAATAAAGAGAAAAGGGTGCGCAAAAATGTATCGATAAAGCAGAAGGGTATTTCTCTCCTCGCTCGTTCGCGAGTGTAATTCGGAATAACGATACATATTTTCAATTATGCTGAATTACGAGCGCGTCCTGGCTGGTCTCGCTCGCCCTGCGGCTCGCAGCGCAATTTTGACAGAAGCGGAAACGGATTATCGCGAACGACGAACTTTCGCGCGCGTATGACACGGGTATTTCGATTCCGCCGAGGGCAGCGGGAGAGGAGGCAGGATGAAGAACGGAATCAAATAACGCGCGTGTTACGTAAAGCCGCGTACACGCGTCGAATTTCGCGCTCGAACTCGTCCGCTCTCTCTCTCTCTCTCGCTCTGGTGTTTGTTGCGCGGCGAATCTCCCTGAGAACATTTCGCAATATCGCTTCGACAAACTTTACGCACGTCAACGGATTAACGCGCCGAGTCGCGAGTCAATCGACGACGATATAAACTATATAATATGTCAAAACGATTTGTTCCCGACGAAAAGCGCGGCATTGTTTCCTAGAAAACGATAAATTAGGCAGGAATAATATTCGACAAGTGAACAATCGCTTTGCTACAAGCTTCATTATTGTTGTTATTATTGTGTCGCTGTTCTCATTTTGTGTGTTCAACGTTTATAATTAGACTATAGATTTCTGTTCTGGATTTATAGCGAATTTTGTGCATCGTTTAAAGCATCACATATAATATGTATATAAAATAAATATTTTTTTTAAATAATTTTCTTTCTATAATTTTTCTCTTTTATGTATAGTATGTATATACAATAGGAATGAAAAATTCGAAGAGATATGAGCGTAGAAGATTGAAAATAATTTCTATATAAATGTGTACCCACACACATACAATATTAATAGAAAATTCTAAGAGATACGAGCTTAAAAGATTGAAAATCATTTCTTTATAAAATGTATATATATATATATATATATATATATACACAATATTAATAGAACATTCGAAGATTTATGAGAAAAAGATGTCCTAGAACTATCCATAAACCTGTTCATGGCAGATTATTTGGAGACTCAATAAAAGTATCAAAACACCAACAATTTTCGAATTATAAGCGATTGAAAATTAACAAAATCACATTCTTCAATTAATTCCAAATAGAGTTTACTTTAATAGAATTTTAATTTGAGGCTTAATTACAAAAATATCACTGTAAAAAATATATAATGTAGTAAATAAAAATATATAAAATTACATTAATTATTCATATAATTTTACATATTTCTTTTACAGTGTACATGGTGGCAAAAATTGAGAACATGCGAAAAATAATAGCTTCCCTCGACATTTTCGCTGAAAAAAATCATCTTCAAATGATCCCAGGAAGCATTATCAGGATAATTCGAGAACATGGATTTGCCCTCTTGGAATCAGTAAAAAAATTAAAAATTTACTCTCCTTTCGAACACTAGAATCGATTTGCATATTTAATAAAAATAAAAAATAAAAATAAAAAAAATAAAGAATAAAATTAATTATGCCCCTCTTGGAAAAATGTCTGCTCACAACAACCTGTATATGCAAAAGTTAATCGGCGATTTTTGAAAACGAGAGAATTCTGGATCCTCGATGCGTCACAAAGTTCCAAGTATCGTGATACAGATTGACAAACTTGAAGGTTCGGTAAACCGCTATTGAGCTTGTTGATGTAAAAGTCGTGGTATCGCGTACACCGTATCGCAGTGTCGCCGCGCGAGCGAGGGTTAACATGCCGGAAAATGTTAGACAACCGCAGCGCGGTTAGACCGCGCAATGTTACAACGATCTGTCTTCCGCGATCCATCACGGAACAGGCCCGGCAAATGCCCGAATCTATGCCGCCCCGTTTAACTGACGCGCAACAATGTTACTTTCGTCGCGTCGCGACGAATAATGTACGACGGCCACATTACAACCAGACGACGTAGCTCATGTAATTCGCGTTGGCCCCCTTATTAAACCGGCGAATTTTGACGAACAACAATAAAGAGCGTCCGCAGGATTTTTTCAGGGAGGAGCGCGATTACATTTTTTTTCTTTCTTATTCTTTATTCATTTTTTATTATTTTGTAATTTTAATATTTTTATATTTAGTAAAATTGCATTTTGCTGAATTCTAAGGGAGGCAAATGCCCCCTGTGCCCTTGTTCTCTTTTTCCAGGGAGGGGTACGATTAAATTTTTTTGTTTCTTATTATTATTCTTTGTTGATTTTTTTTAATTCAATTTTTTATTATTTTGTAATTTTTATATTTTTATTTTAAATAAAATTGCACATAAATTCCAGTATTTATTCACAAGAAGAGCAAATGTTTAATTTTTTTACTGATTCCAAGGGGGGCAAATGCTCCCCATGCCCTTATCCTCTTTTTCCAGAGAGAGATATGATTAAAATTTGTTTATGTTATTTTATTATTGTTCTTTGTTCATTTTTTAAATTTAATTTGTCATTATTTTGTAATTTTAATATTAAATTGCAAATAAATTGCAATATTTATTCACAAGAGAGCACAGGAGAGCA